TTTTCCTACGTATGGTATATTTTGTCAAAACTCGAATGAACAGAAATAAAATTACTTACTTGGTCTTATAATGAGAAGAAAACAATATTTTTTGTGACAGCAAAAAACTCACACAAAGTCAAAAGTTGTATATTTTTTATATTTAAAAATGAAAGAGAGGAATTTGATAGAGCATGTACAGCTGGTCATGCAAAGATTGCAATACTTTTTTTCGATGGATTTTGGAATACAGTTTGTTCATTGAGTGATTGATTCTTATTTATGGATCTAACCATTTACGTTCAATCGCTCTAGCAAAGCTGAGTTCTGAAACACATCGAAAAAAAGTTGCATTTTTCTGTGATCGGCTGTACATTGCCAATTCAAAATATTCTCATTAGCAAAGCAATGAAAAATTATTACACATCGTTGTGGGTGTATGCTATCAGGATGTGTGCTAACAGAACTCTTTCAAAATGAAATAATTAATAAAAATTTTGGAAGGAGTTTGAACTTCCAAAATCGTCCTCCTGGATACGCCATGCTTATATATAAAATAACACAAGTGATTTATACAATGAAATATTTATTTTTAACAGTGAAAATCAAGAAAACATACGTAAACATCTTTTAGAGTTCAAATATGGCGGTTAAACTAAGTGAAATTGTAAAGTATAAGAATCATATAAAAATTCATAAAAATCTGTCACTTGTGGCAACTAAAAAAATTAATTATAACAACATACCCCGTACAACAACTTGCCCCGGTCTCTTCTAATTGCGGATCAATTCAAAGGCTTTATTCTTTTTGGTAGCGTTATTGCATTCCATAAGAATAATAAAAATGATTTGCATATGTATATTTTAATATATATAACGAAATTATAATTGATGATTCACATCTGATTCTAAAATCTAATTGTGAATCATGATGCAATTTTTTGTGACATATTTAAGTTTACTTAAAATTAGTACAATTAAAAATCTATAATTAAAATGGCAACAAAAATTAATGAAAATTAAACATTTAGTAATAAAAAACAATTAAATTAATAAATAATACTTTTTGCATATAGACATGTATACTATTCTATGTTCTATTTTGATACTTCAGGTGATTTTTTAATAAATCGAGTTACCATAGAAATGTCTAATTTTTTAATATAATGCCCTTACGAAAAAAAACTCTTAATTTTTTGTGTTAATACTCAAATTTAGGTGTTTACTATCAAAGTTGAGCGTTGAATCAATATTGGGTGTGATACTTAAGCATTAAGTATCAGTTAACATCAATATTGAGTGTCGGTTGAATATTGATTATCAAGTATGAGTATCGGTTGGGTGACCATTAAATTCGGTGAATAGTTTGGTGTATACATCATAATATCCGCAGTTTATTCTCAACACTTATATATGACATTCAATAGATAAATGTAAAACTTAAATGATTTAAACCTCTGAATATTATTTTCAAAATTGAGTGTAAGAGTCACTTGAATGTTAATCTTTATAATTGAGAATTAACTCTGAAATGTTGAATATAGATTCATTTATGAAAGAAATATATTTTAACTATATGCGTGAAACATCTTTTTGACAAACTATCTAGCCTGCTGTTCGGAAACCCATGTATCGTTTTATCTTTATTGTTCACCCAATGTAAAACAAGGATAAGATGAAACACGAGGGCACCCAGATATTTCCGAACGCAGGCTAGAGTTTGTCAAAAAGATGTTTCACACACAGTCTTAAAGATGTTGAAACCCTATTCAGATATATCACAATTATTGGGAGTAAAAATAAGTTTCCGCCGTTTTTTTATCAAAACTTAAGCATTTATTGTGAAAGAACAGTACATAATTTTATTCAAAGTAATAGCCATCGCTAGCCACTACTTTTTCCCATCTTTCTGGTAGCATGTGGATACCGCGTCGCTTCATCTTTTAAGGCTATCCAATCATCGATACAATTTTTGGTATCTTCATATGATGTGAAGTGCTACTCACAGGCCATGCGTCATCGAACAAGTGGTAGTCGGAAGGAGCAATGTCTGGAGAATATGGCGGGTGGGGTAGAACTTCCCAATATTTGAGTGTTTCTAAGTAGGTTTTGACTGGCGCCACAACATGTGGTCGAGCATTATCATGCAGGAGAATAATTTTGTCATGCCTGGAGTAGTAGTGGGCGCGTTTTTCCTTGAGTGCTCGGCTCAATCAATTGTGTTCGGTAGAGAGCCCCAGTAATGGTCTCGTTCGGTTTGAGCAACTCATATCAATACACGACACCAAGTTGATTCCACCAAATACACAACATATAATAAGTTTTTTTCCATGCATATTTGGCTTGGCTGTCGATGTTGAAGCATGGCCAAGTGGTTCCCATGATTTCCTCTTCTTTGAGTTATCATAGTGGATCCATTTTTCATCACCAGTGACTATACGATACAAAAAACCCTTTCGTTTATGCCTGGCAAGTAGCATTTCACATGTGAAAAATCGGCGTTCAACGTTTCTCGGCTTCAGTTCATATGGAACCCAATTCCCTTGCTTTTGAATCATTCCCAATGATTTCAAATGATATGAAATTGCTTGTTGAGTCACTCTTAATGTAAATGCAAGTTCTTTTTGCATTTGGTACGAATCTTCATCCAATAATGCTTCCAATTCCGCGTCTTCGTACACTTTCAGCCTTCCGCTACGGTCTTTGTCTTCGACGTCAAATTCACCGTTTTTAAACTTTTGAAATCATTCACGACAACTTCTCTCACTTAAGGCAGCATCACCATATGCTTCTACAAGCAATCTATGAGCCTCAGCTGCAGAAGTCTTCAAATTAAAAAAGTAAATGAAAAGTTCCCGCAAATGACGCTTATTCGATTCAAAACTCGACATTTTCGTACAAAAAAAAATATATGATGTTGATACAAAATCGCTAATATTTCAAGGTTATGGTGTTGCCGGATGTCCAATCTTATGATATATCGTTTTACATCAAATTTTAATTATAGTTTATTAGTGGCGCCGTCTTTTGCAAACGGCGGAAACTTATTTGTACTCCCAATGTATACTAACAGTTATATTAGATGTACAACTTTGCTTCCGCCGTTTTTTTTCGAAATTCGAGGCTTTATTATAAAAAACTGGTTATACATTTATGATTCAAAGTATTGTCCATCGCTGGCCACTACTTTCTCCCATCTTTCGGGTAGCGTACGAATCCCGCGTCGAAAAAACTGGTCATCTTTTGAGGCTATCCACGAATCGATCCAATTTTTTACTTCTTCATAAGACCGGAAGGGCTGGTCAGCCAGGCCGTGTGCCATTGATCGAAACAAGTAATAATCAGAGGGAGCAATGTCTGGAGAATACGGCGGGTGAGGTAGGACTTCCCATTTCAACGTTTCCAAGTATGTCTTGACCACTTTCGCAACATGAGATCGAGCATTGTCATGCTGCAAAATCACTTTATCATGTCTCTCATTGCGGCCGTTTGTCTTTCAATGCTCGGCTCAAACGCATCAATTGCGTTCGATACCGATCGCCTGTGATTGTTTCAGTCGGTTTTAACAGTTCATAATACACTACGCCGAGCTGGTCCCACCAAATACAGAGCATGACCTTGGACGTCAAAATCACCGTTCTTGAAGCGTTGAAACCACTCACGACACGTTCTTTCACTAATAGCGGCCTCACCATAAGTATTTGAGAGCATTCGATGAACCTCAGCCGCAGATTTCTTCATATTGAAGCAAAAAATTAAAACCTCCCGCAAATGACGAGAATTTGGCTCGTAAACTGACATTTTCAATCGAGAATAACTTTATGATGCAGACATAAATCGATGTTTCTATGGGGTTATGTTGACAGATGCCCAAGTTTATTGTATGACGTCTATGATCTATTTATTTCGACCATCACTTACCGCTAAAGCCATCTATAGGAAAACGGCGGAAGCAAAGTTGTACACCTAATATACTAATATTCAATGTTCTTGAATCATCGAAGTTCTCGTACGATTGCAGAGGTCAAGCTCTTAAATGGGGTACGAGATTGGATTGGGTGACCGTTTTAAAAAATAAGGAAATTAATGCCCAAATGAGAGAGAAAGCGTTTTTTTTTTAATTATAATTTTGTGTGTATCTTAGAAAATGTTGCAAATCAATAGTATTTTAGTAATAAAACGGATTTAATTAATTTTACATAATAAAACCATTTATTTTGATGGTTTTCTTTGGGCATTAACTTTTAGCTGAGTGTATGAAGTTGAAGTACCGAAATTGACGTGTGCAAAATTCTATGGTAAGTTAACGATGAAATAAGAAAGAAAAAAAGATGTTGAAAATGTAACCTTTCAAGTATAACTTAGTAACAGATAAGGTTCGCAAACACTTTTTTGACCTACTGTATACAAATCTTATCACAGACTTTTCTCAAAAACAAGAATATAATAGTTTAAAAAATTACGATTTTAATGGTCACAAAAAGGTAATAGGTCAATGAGCATGCTGGAGAAATATTTGTATACATATACTTGCATGTAAATTTAATCTCAAAAAGTAAACATAATCTCATCTTGGTACAATATAAATTCAGAGCTATTATAGCCTAATTGATCGCTGTTTATTTATTAATTAATATAATATATTTATTTATTAATATAATATAATCATGAAATCGATTAAATAAATTCAAACGTTTCGACCATAAATGGCTCTTTTCAATGAATAAATTAATCAATAACTATATTCGCAATAATATTTGTCAATAATATAAAATTCGTAAAAAAACAGCGCTCAATTAGTCAATGAATTGAAAAACATGAAATTATTGAATAATACGATATTAGTTTCATTGAATATGGTATCTTTTTACACCTTACAATGTATCAACAGACTTAGCTATCATCAGTATTGAGAAGAGATGGCCATATTAAGAAATCCAAATACTTTACATGAATTCAAAATTACAATACAAGATTATTAAATTCGCATAATTAACAAATAAAATGTGGCAAAAATACAGGCCTGTACTTGCGGAGCATCGAGGAGCCGAGGATGACGGCGGAAACGGCGGGACCTTGTGTACAAGGAATACAGGGCGTCCAGAGTAGCGTAGCCAGTCAAAGTATGCTGCAACAGGATGGAACCAGTGGCAGTGGTGGCGGCGTTTATTATTCCTCGACATCGACTTGGACGTACGATCCAGAATACGCCCGTATGGAGGCTTGGCTTGACGAGCATCCTGACTTCGTTAACGATTACTTTCTCAGGTAATCTGTTCTTCCGAATTTACAATGAAGCGGATAGATTCATGTTAGGTTCATTGTTTTGAAAATTAATTGATGGCTTGTTTATTATCGTTTTTGAAAAATAATAACTACAACTTTTAACAAAATTGCCTCCGTTATGATCTATATATTTTTCTCCTTTATGTTTTTTTCGTTTATATATGTTTTTTGTACATTTATATACGTTTATATACATTTTTTATCACGAAATCTATTTTTCGAAATCTGCATGAACATCGGAAAGTATATAATAAAAATAGCACGTACGCAAGATGTTACATCTGAAGCTTCGGATTCAATTATTTCCCAAACTATCGTTATTCCAAAAAGTATTTCAAATAGAACTTAATTTAATAAATACGAGGGGGATATCTTTTGATGATCACAAATCCTTGTTAAAAGTGAACGTGCTTCCAAGATTTCAAAATGACCTTTATTCTTCTAAATGGAATCATAGCGACTAATTTGGAAGATAATTGCATCCGAAGCTTCAAATGAGACTCTGTATATGTATATTTGTATATGTACATTGTTTTTATATAGAATATATATACTCGTATATATATATATAGTATGCTTATCACAGACTGTTTTTCTCTAACTTAATCATCTAAAATGTTTCCGTATTTAATGATACGAGAAAATACCAAAGAAGAAAGTTGTTCGATTCGAAAGGGCAAATATTATAATGAGTAAAAAATTTTTCTCAAGATCATATTTTTTTAGACTTTAAGGTCACCTTTTTAAATGAAATTGTGTTATTTTTTTACACAATATGATTCCTCTAATTATTCTGAATATAAAAGTATTATGATAGTGGTATAAAAAAAATCAATAGTTTACGAAATATTTTATATCTTATTCTGACATAAAATGTTAAATAACTCGTAAACTATTAATTTTTTGATAATCGTATTTAATATTTTCATGAACAAAATAATGAGATGAATCAATTGATAGAAAGAAAACACATAATTGCTTCAAAAAAATACTATGAATAATTTTTTAAATAAGCATTGTATTTTTAAATAAGCTATGTGCTTTTTATCCACCAATTGATTTATCTTATTATTTTGTTCAAAGTATTAAGGTATGATTATCAAAAAATTAACCTCTAAATTCCGTACCCCAATCGCGCATCCGTAACTTCCACACTGGTACGAATTTGGCAATTGTATTTTTAAATATTAATTTTGTTATGAAACTTTAGAACAAAGATAAGTTAAAATATGTGTTTTCTAATAGGAAATTTTGTGAGAAATTCAATGGTGAAATTCAAATTGTACGAAAGATTTACTTTGATGATGGAAAAGATTTTTTTAGACAGATTTTTGAAAAACGACTTTTTATTTATTTAATTATATTTATTTTTATATTAATATAGTTCAATTGTTTATATTTTTACTTTATTAACAAAATATACGTGTAAAGGAAAATTATTAGAACATCGGCATCTGCCTTGCAAATATTACATCGTGCTCTGTATTCTCTTTTAAAGGAGTTAATATTTCTTTAAGTGGTACGTCAATTTTCAATATAAAATCAGTATAAAATTTTAAATATAATATATATTGTTCTGTTTGAGGAACTGCAGTATTGCCAAATTTTGCAGATACCTGCCTTATTCTATCATGTGGCTGAAAAATTTTTAGATTGAACGAATTTATCTAAGTGAAATTCGATCTTAATTATGTCCTTAGTGGATGGGTATAACTATGTAGTAGGGCGCCTGCACACGCTTCGATAACAGTTTTCAAAGTACCATCGAAAACTAAAGCGCCCATTTTGCGTGCCACTCTATGGATCTAGTCCTTGCGCGCGCCGTCCCCGCGCCATTTCTTCCCAGAGCGTATGCACTTCTTAAAATTCACAAACCAAATTGTTCTTTTAAGATCATTGTTTCGTCCATAGTCTGTTACATGGCTTCCTTTTTATATAATATTTATACGATTCTTTACTGAAAGTACTGAAGAATCTACTGAAGAAAGTACTAAAAGTACTGAGAATTATATTAAAGATAGTTTTCAACTGGTTGATAAACTTAAAGGAATTTACTTTAAGGAAAATTACAAATTAATTTCTCTAGACGTTGTGTTACTATTTATAAATATATCAATGGCTTTAACAATGTACTGTATTAATGATAGTAGAATTGGACTTACATTTTTAAAAAATGTGCACTTCCAAAAACAGAATTTCTGACTGCAATTAAATTGTTTTAGATTCGACTTTTTTTATATTTGACAATACTATTTATAAACAAAATTTTGGTACGCCCATGGATTCTTCTTTATCTCCCATTGTTGCGGACTTGGTAATGCAAAAATTGGAAAGCTTTGATGTTGTTTGGGGATTTTGTACTTTTTTATTGTATTTTTTTATTAGTATGTCGGCGATTTATGCGCGGCGATTTCAGTGTCTAAAATGGATTTTCTCAGCGCGTTCAATTCTTTTCATCCTCGTCTGCATTACACAATTTACCATGGAAGTCGAGCATAATTGGTTAAATTTTCTAGATATTTCTATCATTATTAATAATAATCATTTGATTTTCGACTGCTATCATAAACTCAAGCAGATTTTTAAATTTTTTTTCAATCATCTGACATCTCAAAAGAAAGGCATAATTTTTAATTTAATGGACAGAGTTTTTTTGATGTCGGATCCTATTTTTCATGCAAAAAACATCTCTCTTGTTATAAACATTTTGAAAACAATTTTCCGCTTAAATTCATTTTTGATCCCATTAATAATAGAATCAAGGATATTATTCGGAAAAAGTTGTTTAGAATCAACAACTTAGAGAATAATAAATTAGTCCATCTTGATTTATCATATCTTATGTACCGATTTTACAGAAAAATTTAAACAATTCAATAGAAATGATATCAATAAAAATGATATCAAAGTCTCTTATTATAATATAAATGAAAGAAATTTATCAAAGTACATAAAGACCTTTTGGACTTTTTTTCGAAATCTAATGTTGTTTATAAGATAAACTATAATGACTGTGATGCATCTTACATGGGACAAACGAAGAGGAAGCTGAAAACTCGGATTTCAGAACATCGAAATTATATACGGAACATCTAAATCAGTAATAACAGATCATCGATCGCAATTGGATCATGACTTTGATTGGAACATTCAAATCTTGGATGAAGAACTGGTGTACAATAAACGCCTTGTCTCAGAGATGCTTAACATTAAAAAACAGAGTAATAGTCTTAACAAACACAGAAGGTTTTCATAAATCATATATTCCGATAATAAACCGATAATAAACAATGTTTGATTTTGCATTGCCAAGATTTATTGCAGTACAATTGAATCCATCGAGAACGTTGGATGGTTTTCTTTATTCTTTATTTTATACATTGAACGTTACACACTTACAATTGTAATATTAATTTTTACTTCTTTTAATACCAAAATTTGATTTTTTTAAATATTAACATGGCTTTTCTCAATTTTTGACTCTGAGGTTAGTTTTTACCAGAAAAATATATTATGTTTGTTTAAAAAAATTTTTTAATTTTGATAATTTATATAATAATTTTATGTTTCTTTATATTCTCATTAAAACAAGAAAAAATTTTCGCAATCAGTCATTCACTTTTCTATTGATATCATTTCTATTGAATTGTTTAAATTTTTTTGTAAAATCGGTACATAAGATATGATAAATCAAGATGGACTAATTTATTCTTTATTATTCTCTAAGTTGTTGATTCTAAACAATTTTTTCCGAATGATATCCTTGATTCTATTATTAATGGTATCAAAAATGGTATCAAAAATGAATTTAAGCGGAAAATTGTTTTCAAAATGTTTGACGACCAATTTTTCGTTTCTCTGTTTTAACACTCATCTAATTCTGTAACGAAACAGTCGCTTTCTTAATTTTTGAATAATAATTTTTGTTGCACCGGAATTTTTTTGTACATCTGAAGAGAGCCTAAATATTATATAAGGTCGAAACATGTATTGTACTTAGTATTGTATTTTGTAGCATTTCAATTTTCTTATTTTGTACAATTCTTATATCTATCTTCAATTATACTGATGTTAAACGAATAATGGAGATTTTTTATGTTTTCTGACTCTTATTAACTTTTTATATCTCGTTGTCGTATTTATTTACACCAATAAATGTTATTGTAAAAGCATCTAAATTTGGAAAAATGATTTCAGGTAATTAAATAAAATTTCCTTTCACAACAGATTTATTTTATTATTAAAAAGTAAATATAAATTTGCGTAAACGGAATAATATCATGAAATTATAATCTCTGTGATATCATTTCTATGATATATTTTATATTTTGTTTACGAATCTCATAATAGTCGTAAAATAGTTATTAATTTAACATTTGTATTTCTTACAGATCATTTTAAAATGTAGTTAGAAGAAGCTTATTTTCCAAACATTGGTTTTAAAAGCATTTTTTTTATCGATTCATGGACTGGACATTGTCCCAATATTATTTCAGATTTAACATTGCAGGAAAACATATTACTACTATTATACCGAAAGGTACTACAGAAAAAATACAATCATTAGATGTTTACGGATTTAGAATTTGGAAAAATTTTGCTAAAAGATTTTGTTTAGATATTGTTTTACTTTATTAGAAAGTAATATAAATTTACATAAAAGAAATAATATAATAAAATTACAATCTCTGATACATAATCAATTGTCATCTCCGCGATATCACAACTTATTTAAATATTTGTGATTTAAAAGTGGTTGTATAAACGAAAGACCAGAAGAAATTTGAAAATCCAGTAGAATTTAGTTTAGACAAAAGTTCAACAACGTGTGATATCGAAGGTTGCAATAATACAAGGTGTATACAAAAAGTTCGTACTCTGTTCATCAAACATCCAAATTAAATTATTCTGTAACGGGGATGTGATCACCTTCGAAATACTCTCCCCTTGACAGAATACACTTGGTTCAACGCTTCTTCCAT